GTGAAGTGAACGACATCTATTTGATTTTCTTTGTCTCTGTTTTCTTGTTGTCGAACTTTATTCTCTGAGTCGAACCCCTCGTGCATTACAGTATTCTGTCACTGACGTAACTGTTATAACACCCCACACATACCGTGAACGTCAGCTGCAGTTTTTAATGAGACTTAAAGTGGAAACCCTCTGACAGACATTAGCAATGTAGAGCTCGAAGTACAGCCTGACATTGACGTGCAGCCTTGAAAAAAAAATGGTGACTGACCGCCAGCGACACAACAGCGGTTTATAGCTGCTGGTACTTTAGATGTAAGACAAATGAATAGAAGCTGTTATGCTAAAAAACAAAAACACTGAAAGCCAAGGGGTTTTCAATTTTCAAAGGGGAAATAAAGAAATGTTTAGGAGTGCCAAACAGTACTTGAGCCTAGCCTTTGTTTTCAGTGACAGTGAGTGTCCCTTTCTCCTTTATTTCTGGCAACCCTGAATTGGCTGGTATTATATCTTTGAAACAGTGGAAAAGGAATGCATTTTTACACCCTATCAAGTGAGAGTATGTTTGTTCAAATAAACTTTGCAGCACCAAAATGAAATAAAAATGGAGAATATTGCAGTTCATAGTACATTTGCTGAGTTTAAAAGGAAATCCACTTAGTTGGTTTCACAAAACGACTGTAATGACATTGAATAATAGCAACCACTGATGTGCACTCAAAACATCAATTCTTTTTGCACCACCCTGTTTGTCGCCGTCCTCCTGCTCCTCTCCGATAAGGTTTTTGAGCGGCGGCCCTTGAAGCACTCCGTCTTGAACCGGAGGAACTGAGAGGGATCCATGCCGGTCCTCCTAGCCCCTCCCGCACAGTCCACCCTCCCCGCCATGGTGCCAAAGCCACCCCCCTCCTACCCGCTGGTCAAACCTGGTGGGCAAGTTCACACCTGAAAGTGCCTGGTAAGTGGACCCTGTGTGTTTGGAGCAAGGGCTTCCCAGCGCCCAAGAGAAAATGTTTTTCGGGCCCTTGACATTAGACATTTAAAGAAAACAGCGCAATTAATAGAACTGCTGGCTACATTTTAAATAGCCCATAATCCCAAAGCAGCAATCCCTACCCCCAGCCCCCCTGCTGAGCATACTCTACTTTTAGTTGCTAATGCACATATGAGAGGTAGTGAATCCATTTGGGAATTTTCAGGCAACCAATGAATGGAGTGCTTAAGTTCCTGATATAATTGCCAGTAACAAAAGTTTTTTTGTAATCAGAATCGGCCTGCCCCCGAGGGACGGCCACTGAGTTTAACACCATCAGTTCCCATTTTAATTGCTTTTGTGTGGAAACTTGCTGGAGCCCCACAGTTAAAAAGATGTAGATTATTGCAGTGTTGTTCTGCATAACCCCCCAGCTTTAATGTCTTTTTTTCCTGTCCCGCGTCCAAAGGTTCTGCGAGGTGGATTTTTTTCACGGGTCCGCCTGTCGTACAAGAGGACTGGGATCAGACACCCGTCCAGCAAGCACATCCTCCAAGATGAACTACAACAAGCCTGCTGCGCACAAAGCAAGCCTCCCGCTGGACCTCCCTGCCCCAGCTGATTGACCCGCCACCGGTCCAGGAAACTCAATGCCCCAGCCCTCCCTCTACCTCTAGAACCACCTCCTACCACCCTGCCCTCATCCAACCCCAACTCGCACACAGCTCCAGCCAGCCGATCCCCTACGCCTCCGCCTGATATGTGCTTCCGCGCCCCTGTACTGCCACAGAGATAGTAAAGGTCTCAGAGGCAGCCACCCCATCAACCACTTCTATTGCCCCTCCCCCACCCAGACAGGTGTGAGCTCAACTTCATCCACTGTCATTTGATCCCTTTGTTTTCTTTCCCTTTTTGCAGTTTCTTTTCATCCATCCAATTTCTTTCCTTTGGCCTTCAACAAAAGTGTTGTTGAGGAGGGCGTTCCCCTCCAAAGAGCTCTCTGAGCACCTTTTGAAGCAGCCTTCCTAGACTGTTATAGTCCCCGTTACCGATGGGAACGAAGCTTCTCACTGGCCTTTATCCTGAGCACCGGTGCATGGATGTTGTGGGAATGTCCAAGGTATGAGGAGAGTGAACCATGCTTTGTGTTTGCCCTTGCCCATATTGAATGTCCAATGTATGACCGGCGGAACCGTTGCTGTACCCCTCCTCCAACATTCCACTGGGCAATTTAGGGGTTAATATATGCCCCCTTTAGCAAACTTCAACCCACCTTTGTCTACTCAGCCCCCCCCCCCCTTTCCCCTTATGACCAGTGCGTTACTAAGACCTGTGAAGACCTTTGACCATTTCTATCAGCACGCTGGTAGTGCTGCCTCAGCTTCGTCACCTACAGTTCCCTGACTGAAGATAAATGACATTTTAATCATGTGCTATCCTGTGGTGAGACCTTCAAACCACCGTGGTAAGCACGTAGTTGTTGAAAACAGGCCACTTTTAATGTTGACATTGTCAACCGGAGCATTACTAAAAAGCCCC